CCATCATCATCATCATCATCATCATCATCATCATCATCATCATCATCATCATCATCATCAAGGTTGAGATGGTTACAGAACTTTGAAGAGCTCAAACCGAAGATGCGGCTGTGAAAAGGAAGGTGTCAAACATATGTGTGAATGTCCAGAAACAATGGCAGTTCGCATGGAGTTATTTTGACGAGGAGGGGGAGGTGCCCCTGAGTATTGATTATGGAACCGAAAAAGAGCCTCGATTTCGCTCGAAGATTTCTTCGTGGAGTCCACCAGGCCCATTAAGGAAACACAAAAAATCATCACCATCCTCTTCCTCCTCCCCCCATCCTCCTCCTCCTCCTCCCCCTCCTCCTCCTCCTCATCATCATCATCACCATCATCGTGCACTGACCTACCTGGCTCACAAGGCTTGCTGCACACGGACTCTGGGATGTCGTCAATCTCTGGCCCAGGACTCAAGTAGTGGAAGGTGAAGTTCCTGACCTGCGTCACATGACTCGTGCGTGCGTCATAGACCAGGACAGGGACGATAGACATGCTTTTGTACTCCTTGCCCGGGATGATCTGGTGGGTCAGGGGAGGGGGAGGGGCGGAGAAATCAATATAGTCGGACAGAAGAGCGTGGGATGAGGGGGTGGGGGGTGTAGGAAGACAGGTTGTGATGCTCAGGGCTAGGGAGAAAAGAGTTGCAGGCATACACACATGCATTATATAATATGTTTATTATATTTTTTCAGATAGATAGGTAGATAGATAGATAGATAGATATCTATAGATAGAAAAAAAGCAGAAAACCAGACAAACAGACAGACAAGTAGACAGACAAAGAGACAGACAGACAGACAGGACAAGATGTCACCTGTTCAAAAGTCAACTCGGAAAGAACTGTACCAGTGTCGTCAAACTCCACCAGACCGGACGGGCCGTAGAACGACGAGTTTCTCAGGTACTGGGGAGGAAGGCAAAGGATAATACGTTCACGTGATGCATCATCATCATCATCATCATCATCATCATCATCATCATCATCATCATCATCA